GGGGCGAATGTGGGAATTTAAAACCTCACTATCTGCTAATTAGCTCGTTTCTTTTATTAAAGCAGCAAAGCAATCGAAGCCACAAAATGCCACCAAACTCTTTTTCTCTTTTCTGTTTTTAGAGGAGAGAAACGTTAGCTTGGATTGAGGTCATGACTCGATGTTTATTGTGGATCTGGAGAGGCAGAAATCCACTTTTATATGCAGATGGGGGAGTTTTTGCTCCTTTTTCTTGATTTGGTCTTTGTTTATGGCCTTTATTGAAAGCTTTTAGTTTTAGTTTCTCCATGTTTGTGAACCCTGTCATCAGTCATCTGCAGAAGCTGATTGATGAGTCTTTAAAGGTGTCTTTGTTTATAGCAATTACGGGTAATTTAATACAATATTTAGAGGGTTCAGACATATTGAGCTCTTACAGACGTTGTTCTGAGAGAGCTGCAATTTCCACAGGAGAAGCAAAAATGTTTTTTCTTTGGTTTTTATCTGCATAATCCACAGTATTTCCAGTTAAAATGAATCTGAACAGCTCAGAAAGACAGAAAACAGATTAATTTGATCACTTAGTACAACTTTGTTTGGATTTTTCCCTCCAGGGAGGTAAGAAAAGTCCTTCTGCACAAAGATAAACACGTATTTCAAGCTTGAAATGCCTTTAAATCTGGGAAAGGCTTTAAAATATTCAGTTTTCATGCTGCCCAGGTGATGAATAGGGTTTTCTATTTGTAATTCTCCATAGTCTCTGCACCCAGTTTATCACGATCACACAAGCATGTCGTTAATCATGCAGATAAACTCAACAGCTTAAAGAGAAATCTGGGGAAAAAAGGGAGCAAACCAGTATCTGCAGTTTAAAGTGGATCTTTAGAATCTAAGACCTAAGATCTAAACATTGTAAATGTTTTTTATAAATTGCCTTTTGTCAGCTAGAGACAAGTGTTTTTTCCTGGTTGTGTTCAGAACAGATTCAGTACCCTGATGCTTTTATGGTTTTATAAAGAATATATAAAGGTTTTATTTGTTTAAAGGGAAAAGATGATACAACAAAACTCACCGAAAAGCCACAAACTAAAGGACAGTGTGTGTTCAAAGAAGCTGGGACGCCTTTGACAGTTTAATAAGCGCCTTGTATTCAGCATGAGACATAACAAATTGTTAAAACCTGCAGACTACAGCTCTGAGAGGCGGCTGTCGCCTCCATAATGACAGATTTTCCAGACTGGGGGAGTTTTTCCCGGCTAATCGCATCATTTTTTGGCCTTTTTTTGGCTTCCTGAAAGTCCAGCTCTCATCCACCGTCCACTCTCCTACATTTTTTATCTATTTTTTTACCCTGGGATCCTTTTTTTCCCTCTGATGGGAGATATTTGCTGTGTGGTGGCCGTGTTCTTTCGCTCTGATGTGCGTTATCATTTGTAATCTTTTGATCTGCAGAGATGATGATAATCCTGCCACATGCCTCCCTGATTACTAGTGCTAGAGCTGGGCCTTTGCTCTGGAGCCGGTCAGTGTTTTTCATTTATGCAACAGGCTGAGGCAGACAGGCTAGCATCACCTGGAAGGTTTAGCTGCTTCTTCTGCTAATTTTGGGTTGTTTTTCTGCTCTTTCTGCTTATTTTTCATTGTTTTGCTGCTTCTTTCACTAATTTTTCGTTATTTTTCTGCTTTTTGTACTTATTTTTTGGTTGTTTAGCTGCTTCTTCCACTTATTTTATGGTTGTTTAGCTGCTTTTTCTACTTATTTTCCATTGTTTAGCTTCTTCTTTTAGTAATTTTTGGTTGTTTTGCTGCTTTTTCTACTTTTTTTCTATTGTTTTGCTTCTTCTTCCACTCATTTTTTATTGTTTTTCTGCTTTTTCCACAAATTTTTGGTTGCTTTTCTACTTATTTTTGGTCGTTTAGCTGCTAACCTCCATTAACCCCCCCAGGTGACCTCCATAGCCCCCAGCAGGAGGGACCAGAGCCCCCTTTGGTTTCCCCCTAATTTTTTAGTTCCACCTACAGTATATTAACTCAGAGCTCCACCATCATTAGAGCTCAAGAAGCTTCTGGATCAGAGGACAAACCTCACCTCCATCTAGATAACTGGACTCTCAAAGCTGGACTATGACCGGGATGACTGAGGACCTTCACAGGTACCTTTAGGAGTATTAGTGTCAGACTGTGTGTTCACAGTAATGACAACACAGGTCAGCTTTTTCAGAAGTTTCTGCTCTCCAAAGTTGAATTATCTTAATTTTCCTGGTGTTCATTGGCCTTTCCTCAATTTCCTAAAATGAGGATTGTCTGGACGACTGACAACCAACACTAACATGTCATTTAGCTCCAGATCAGAGTGATTTTTTAGAGTTACGAGCCTCAAAAAGGACTAGAAAAGTCCATATATCCAGACCCTGCTTTGTGGCAGTTGTTGACAGAGTTGTCGAGGTTTTCATCACATTTCCCCTCAGCCTCTGCTGTTGTCTCAGCTCTGTCTGGAGGCTCTGTTTATTGTTTTTACACCCTCCAGACTCCTCTCTGCCCACTGAAAGGAACAGAAATCAATACACCTCGGCCGGTTTATTGATCGTTTGGTACTTGGAGACAGTTTTGGGAGGCTGGTTGCATCTTTACCAGCAATCGAACGGCACTCTGAGGAGATGAAAGGAAAGTGGGGACAAATTGTGTCATCACATCCACGTTTTCCCCTTAAATCTTCTCATTTTAGCCTCATTCTTAAAATGTTTGAGGGATTAGGGCTCTGAGAGCTTTTCTTTGAAAGCTTTAAATGCGTCATCACCTGTAGAGGGAAGAAACATTACCTTAATAAAGCTGAGCACCTGATTGGCTCACAGGGGGGTTTAACCCTATAAAGCCAAATGTGTCATATCTGATCCGGTTTCTTTTGGATCTGAGACTTTCTGCATCATTCAGTGGTAAAAGCTTTGCTCAAACCCCTGTTGTACACATTCAGATATACCTGATAACAGCCAGTAGAAGACTACACCAACATAGATTTCTGACTTATTGCACGCTAATTTGATCAAAATAATTTCAGTTTTTTTTCCTCATATGTTATTGAGGGGCCAAAGAAAGACTTCAGACCCAAAAAATCCAATATTCTTCCTATTTTTCTTGGATCAGGCTTTAAAGGGTTAAAGAAACCTAAAAAAGTCAGACCCTTTTTACCAGTTCAGCTGATGAAAGTTGCTGTTAAGAGTCCATGATGCTCCTTTTCTTTTCTCCATATCTTCCATCCAACATCTGGTTGAAATACCTAAAGTTTAAATCCAGAAACATTCAAAAGCAACAGCACGTTTTGACCCGTTTTGGTCAGTTTCATGCTAACCAGGTGTCCATGGGAGAGGATCTCTGGACGTGGCTGACGTGTCCTCTGGTCCCTAAGAGGCTTATCTCCTCCAGCTTGTAACAGAATGAAACTCAAATCTGGATTGGATCGGGTCTCTGGAGAAGCCGAGGATCAGTCAGCCTCAGCACAGAGGTTTTTCTCACATAGGCCTCCCTCTTAGCACTGAGAACTAAAGATATTTAAAGATATTTCCTCTTCTTAGAGGGGAATGACGCAGTGGGAGCTGGTTCCAGTCCAAATGTTTGATAGTAATGATAATGATAGCAGTAATAGGACTATGAACGGTGTGAGGATCCTGTTCTTTGACTTCTCTAGAGCTTATCTTTATCTTTTTATTTTTTGGGGGAAAACTCTCTAAAGTACAGGTGGATGCCATCCTCCACTTGGTGAGTCAAAGAAAGGAGACACAGAGGAGGACCATTGTTGGTTGTTTATCTGCTTCTTTCACAGATTTTTCGTTGTTTTTCTGCTTTTTCTACTTATTTTTCATTGTTTTGTGATTTTTCTACTTATTTTTCATCGTTTTGCTGGCTTTTCTACTTATTTTTCGTTGTTTTGCTGCTTTTTTTTAAACCAACTTTTGGTTGTTTTTCGGCTTGTTTCACTTATTTTACATAATTTTACTGCTTCTTTTACTTATTTTTGGTTGTTTTTTTGCTTTTTTAAACTTATTTTTCAGCTGTTTATTCTTATTATTTTTCATGGTTTTACTGCTTATTTTACTTATTTTTAATTGTTTAGCTGCTTCTTTCACTTATTTTTTATTGTTTTGCTGCTTCTTTTACTTATTTTTGTTTGTTTTTCTGCTTTTTTAAGCTTATTTTTCAGTGTTTAGCTGTTTTTTTTCTTATTATTATTTTTCATTGTTTTGCAGCTTCTTTTACTTATTTTTGGTCATTTAGCTGCTAACCACCATGAACCCCCCCAGGTGACCTCCATAGCCCCCAGCAGGACGGACCAGAGCCCCCTTTGGTTTGCCCCTAACTCTTTACTTCCACCTACAGTATATTAACTCAGAGCTCCACCTCAGAAAGCAGTCTTGTCTTATAAACCGTCTTCTCTGCATATACTTTCTCTGCATATACTTTCTCTGCGTATACTTTCTCTGCGTATACTTTCTTGCACCAACTCACATGGTTCAGGAAGTGGGTCGTTTTCAGGCTTCTGCAGAACTTGATGACAACTCGACCCCATTTACTGAAGCAGCTGCTGTTGGAGCGAGAAACCGAGTGCAGATTTAGAAATATGTTTCAGTTTTTTATGTATTCTGCTCACTGGATTACATCAATCCAACCTCAAACTGTCAAATTTGTCCTCACAAAGTCCCAATAATTTCCTTTGAAGTGCACTGTTGACTGTGCTCGTCTAATTTACATATTGAGTCTTTCAGTCAACATTTAGAAATAACACTTTACTCCTTACCAGCACATCTTTGCACCCAGTTTCATATTAAAGGTGAAAAATAACCGAAAACATGTAAAAAAGCAGCCATTAACTTGTTAATTTACACATGAAAAAACTGAAAAAAAGACACAAAACTGCCAGAAGTGACAGAAAAAAAGCTGTAAAAACTTTCTCTTGCCGGAGAAACGGTGGGGATGGGAGGGGAGAGGGGCAGGATGTGGAAAGCCGAGGACGGACTGATGCCAGAGGGATGGGGGTGTGGAGAGAGAGGGAGGATGGAGGGATGAGGGAGGGAGGGAGGGAGGGAGGGAGGCGGGCGCGTGAGGGAGATGAACGGGAGTCAGACACAGAGAGCAGTCGTGATTAAACTCAACAGTTTGACAGCAGCAGAAGGCTTTCACTTGCAGCCCCTCCTCCTCCTCCTCCTCCATCCCTCCTCCTCCATCCCTCCATCCCTCCTCCATGCCTCCGGAGGGTGCGCGCGGCGGCCATGGCGAAGATGCGCGTGTCCTACGAGTACTCGGAGGCCGAGGACAAGAGCATCCGGCTGGGCTTGTTCCTGATCGCCTGCGGGATCCTCAGCCTCTTCATCCTGGGCTTCTGCTGGCTCAGCCCCACGCTGCAGAGCCTCCAGAGCAAACCGGCCAACTGCACGGTGAGCGCGAGCCCACGCCGCGGCCACGCGCACAGCCGCGGACGCGCGCACAGCCGCCGCTTCTCAACTTTTACGGTTTTTCTTTTCTCATAGCGCTCATTGCACTGTGAGTTGTTGCGTTGTTTTAGCTCGTTTGCAGAAGCCCTCCTAAAAAGAAAGTCGTCTGAACGCGTCAGGATCGATACGATTAGTTATTTGATCCGTTTTTTTAACTGAACGATTTAGTGCTAAATTCGTTTTAATTTAACTTTTGCAGCAGAAAAAATGATTAAGTAGAGTTTGAAGCAGGATCTTAGGATGCTAAGTCTCTTAATCAGAAATTTCAGTGACTTATTCTCTCTAAAAACTATAAAAACAACATCAAATAAACTTTAAAGAGCAGCTAATTTAAGAATACTACAGCTAAACAACATGGTTTTATTTGCAGGGATCCCAGTCCAATTGGTTTTTACTTTATAAAGAATGGTGATGGTTGGTTGAAGACAAGTAAAGATGAGTTTTTCTGCTCAGCTACACTTAAAACTGTTTTTTAATAGAGAAACAATTCTGCAAGTAATGCAATTATAGCTTCTCTGTTTAGTAGTTTTTAGCATTATTACGTTCCAATCTTAGGATTTAATGGTAAAACATAAGGACGTAGTTGAGGACACAGTTATTTGGCATTTTATTGACTCACTGATGACTAAGTTTGAGGAGAATTGACGGATTATTCACTAACAAAATGAGGTTTCAGCCTTAAAACACAGAAATAAGCAGAGTCATCTCCAAAGTGATTCTGGAAAGTCCTTAAGGGAAATTATTTGTGCAAACACACCTGTGTAACTGTAATGATTAATACAATTTGATCTCATTCTGTAAAAGTAGATGGATTTGGAAACTGGTAATATGATCATAATGAGGAAAGATGGAGCTGAAATGGACTAAACTGGATTTCGAAGTTAGATTGAGATGTATTGGTTTAAAAATAGTCACATTTATATTCATTTTATGACTTTGGAACAAATTTTTAAACCTCAAGTTGTAGCATTAGCATAAAAAATCATCTGTAATATCAGTATTTATTTTCATTGTTTACACAGTGACTTCTCTATAGATTATAATGTTAAATTAATTTGAGATGCCTCATCTTGAATAGTGTAGGTGGTGTTTTATGGCCAAAGTAAAAACCATGGAGTTTTGCTTTAATATACAGATTTGTTTAGCTAATTATTTATCTTTGCCTGTGAACTGTCTGATGATATATATATATAATTAGGGGATCCTTGGCCTGGAAAACCTTGAAGACCCCTGTTTTAGGGGTTTTTGTTTCGAATAATCTCTGTTAAAACTCCCTGTCGAATATTGGTGGAAGCAGCTTTCTTGTTGTTCTTGTTCTCAGTCGGCAGCATTAAAGGTGATCTTTAGTTTGGACAGAAATCCAAACATGAGTTATTTTAATGTTTGTGGTTGTCGATACAAAGCGGATTTGTCCACCTTAAGTTTGTCCGGTCTCCTCCTGCTTTCCACTGTGGAGCATTTAAACTGTGTGTGCAGCATTTCCCAGCCTCTGCGAGTTTCCCTGTGATGAATGATGAATACCAGCCTGATTTATGGGGCTTAATTTAGCTTATTGCATCATCCTGGGTGAATGTCCTAAAGTGATTTTGCCTGTTTGTTTTCAATCTGTTCTCCAGAGCCTTGTGAATGAGATCAGAGAAACTTTTTCATGGCCGAATTCAACTTAATCTGCAATCATTTGCTGTGTTGCAGCTTTCTAAACTCTATTGGGATTATGTTTGATGGCTCATCTCTTGTGTTTCCATCTTTCCTCATTTAAGGTTCACACATGCTAATCTACAGTTGATTTTTCCAGGCAGGTTCTGACAACATTTTAGGAGCAGAATGTCAATTTTTCTCTTGTTTATTCTTGTTTCCAAACCCAGAATTGCTCTGTTACTGTTTAAATCTGCAGCCATTAGCTCCATTTTAAATGTTAAATAAGCTTTTATTAAAACTAGAACACTGACTAATAGATTAAGAACTGCTTACTTTAACTGATCAAACTAAAACAAATGGCCTGATAATGGTTTGAAGCAACTTTGAGAAAGGTTAGAGTTATGAATCTGGGGCTAAAGACACAGACCCCTATCTCTTCACCCTCATTTATCCTTCAGATTAATCCATTTAGCCTTATTTACTTTCTGAAGCTCTTTCTGAGATCCTGTTGTCTATAAACAAACAGATAGATTAAGAGCTGGTTACTTTAACTGATCACACTGAAACAAATGGCCTGATAATGGTTTGAAGCAACTTTGTGAAGGGTTGGGGTTATGGATTTTTCACTTATTTATCCTTGTTTCGAAACCCAGAATTGCTCTATTACTGTTTAAATCTGCAGCCATCAGCTCCATTTTAAATGTTAAATAACCTTGTATTAAACCTAGAAGACTGACTAAAAGATTAAGAACTGCTTACTTTAACTGGAAAAATTGGCCTAATACTGATTTGAAGCAACTTTGTGAAGGGTTTGGGTTATAATTCTGGGGCTAACAACACAGACCCCCATCTCTTCACTCTCATTTATCCTTCAGATTTATTCATTTTGCCTTCGTGAAGCTCTTTTCGAGACCCTGTTGTCTATAAACAAACAAATAAATTAAGAACTGGTTACTTTAACTAATCACACTGAAACAATTAAATAATTGGCCTGATAATGGCTTTAAGCAACTTTGTGAAGGGTTGGGGTTATAATTCTGGGGCTAACGACACAAAACCCTCATCTCTTCACCCTCATTTATATTTCAGATGAATCCATTTAGCCTTATTTCCTTTGTGAAACTCCTCTTCTTCTTGTCTATAAATTGTCCGGTGCTGATAAACTGGGCTTTTCCCAGGTCCAGGAGCTGGAACGGTCTGTCCTGGCTGCTGGCTTTGCCTCTTTTTGCCTCTGTTGGTGGGAGAGGGAGCAGCCTCCAGAGCGGGTTTTTATCAGAATCAGAATCAGAATCAGAATTAGGTTTATTGCCAAGTAGGTTTTCACATACAAGGAATTTGCTTTGGTGTCTGGTGCCCAGCATTGCACCAAAACACCGAGGCGGCCTTTTTTTTCGGCGCCAAGGCAAATCTTCAGAACAAAAAGAATACATTGGGAAAGCGGGTTTTTATCTCTCTCTGTGTTTTTCCTCCTCCCTCAGGTGGTGTCGGTGCTGCGTCCGGAGGAGATGTTCGAGTGTGTGTTCACCTGTGGGGCGGACTGTAAGGGCACCTCTCTCTACCCCTGCCTGCAGATCTTTGTCAACAACTCCGAGTCCAACTCCGTGGCCCTGCTGCACTTTAATGAGCAGCAGCTGGTCCTCAACCCAAAGGTAGGACTAACAAAACCCTCCTCTGTCTGGGGAAGAGGTGGAGATGCTTCAAAACAAATCCAATTAGCAGATATTTAAGGATCCACACGGTACAGAGTGAATAACGGAGACACAGAACTGTTCTGATCTTAACCCTTTAAAGCCTGATCCAAGAATAAAACAAAAAAGAAAATTTCGTTTTTTTGGTTTGAATTCCTCATTTGGCCTTTTAACAAAATATGAAAAAAGAAAAAACAGAAATACATTTTTAATATTAATAATTTATTACTATACGATAAGTCAAGATTATTTTTTGTGTAGTCTTCTGCCCCCTGTTATCAGGTGTATCTGATTGTGTACAATAGGATTTTGAGCAAAGTTTTTACCATTAAATTATGGAAAAGGAGTCAGACGCAAAACATTTGGCATTATAGGGTTAATATCTAAATATTTCAGACTAAGGCTCTCATTTATGACCATTTCCACCAATTTGTCTTGTGGCGTTACTGATCTTTATCCTGATACATTGGAAAAATCCTCAATAATTTTCTGTCTCAGTGATATTCTGTGATCAATTTATGCTCCAGAAGAGCAGCATTTATCTCCTAATCTCATCTTTGTTGGTCCGACAAGTTTTTAAAGCCATATACTCTCATTTCTTCTGCTTTAAATAGTTAAATTCAGCCCACTGAATCGATCCTGCATAAGATGCTGGACACTGTCTCCAAGTAGCTGGAAAAATGCTAATTTTAGATTAGAGGCCTCATCAGGTCTTTTCTGAATTTCCCTCAGACAGGGGTTTGGATGGTTAGTTCAGACTTATTTTCCTTTTACTCTGAGAAATGTAGTTCTTCAGATAGTTCTTCATGAATAAAACTATAATGATATTAATGATAAATACAAGAAATGACTCGATTTGATAGAGAGACTTCTGTCTTTTATACTAAATGCAAAGGTGAAATCCAGAGGAAATAAACGACTGAAAGCTGGTACGTATCTAAAAGTTGATTACACTTCATTTCCTCAAAAGAACATAAGAAACCGGCTGGTTGAAACAAATGAAAGCAATCAGGGCTGCTTCTCCCATGTGAGCGTGAGGAGTGTTTTCCTGATTGGTTTTTGAATCACAGCTGTCTGAAGGCCTGAGCGGAGCAGAAATCTTCCCGTCTCAGAGAGCTGAGAGGGAAAAAGAGGCCCACAGCTGGAGGGAAACACTTCTGGGTTTTACACCCTCTCTGCCAGAGCTGAAGGACTCTCTGGGGCTATTTTGGTTTGATACGGGTTAGAAAAGTAAACAGGATTTGAGTCGTTAGTTTTTTTCTGTGGTTCTGAACTAGACTGACTTGTTTCTTGTTTCCTGGTTCTGGTCTGAACTGGACTGATGTGTGCTTTGAAACTTAAATAACAGTATAAAAGCAATAATTACACTTCCTGTTGGAGGACATTAACATACAGAAATATATCATATATATACCACAAAGAGTAGGTATCCAGTACAAAACTAACAATAAATTGAGAGATTTTTCTCTGTCATCAATATTCTCTCTCACAATCAGCTCATGAGCTTGTGGAGTTTATTTACGTGGCACCTTCAGTTTCAGGAAAGATAAGAGAAAAGAGGCTTTTTTAGCAACTACACCAAATTTGTGGAGTATTTCTGATAAAATCTGTTAGATATCCATCCTTTCACAGGCTCTTTCTGCCATAACCACCGTAGTTAACCCTCCCTGTGAGGAACATTAAAGGATTTAAGCTTCTTTAGGTTTAAAAAGTTTATTCTGTGACCATTAAGTCAAATATGTCTGGGTAATTATTTGCCTAAATCTCAAGCCTGTTCATTTCTGCTTCAGATTTTTCTTATACTTTTGGATCTGGTCTTCAAGTAGCGCCTAATGGACGGCTTCTTTTAAATGTTTTAAGATGTAATGGACGGAAAGAAACCAGAAGGACTGATGCATTAGTGAATGCAGTTACATTATCTACGCTTTTTTGGCCTTTTAGAGGTCTACAGCCTCCCTGAAGAGCAAAAAAATACTTAAATTAGAGCTAAAAACCACTAACAGACTGAGATGAACACAGAAGTTTAGCATCCCTCTGCTGGAGCCTGAGCCTGGGCCCTCGCTACGGCAACAGAGTAAATATAGAGGCCAGAGACGGCGCGTCATCCCTGCCGCTCCGTCGCCGTGGCAACGGCGATGTGGAGACACAGGGAGAGAGGCAGACGAGTCACGCTTCGTTCAGGAGTCCTTTAATGTTCCTCACAGGGAGGGGAGGAGACCCAGAAAGGATGGAGACCTCCAAAAGGAAAACCTGGGTCCCTCCATTTGGAGAAAGAAAACATCATTAACTGGGCGACCAGAAGGGTCCAAATATCTTCGATTCCACAGTCTAACAGAAACATCGGCTCAAAATGCTGCTTTATGTCTATAAGATAGTGTTTTAAAGTGTCTGGGAGACAGGATTTGCTCTGTTTTTATGGTCTTTGGGCCACGTTTTGCAGCTATTCTGTGTGAAATGTGTTTAAAAACCGCATCCTGTGGAGGTTTTTTTTTATGATTAGTGAGAAAATCAGAAGAAAATATTTCAAAATCTGAAACAACTGGAAATAATTTACACTCAAACAAACTAAAGCATTGATAAAAAAAATTTAAAAGACCTTTTTCAGGATGAAAAAGCAAAAAATAGTAGTAGAAAGTAGTACATTTATCATCTTTTTTTACTCTTTAGGTCCAAATTTGTAGTGAAAAACACGTTAAACAAAAGCGTAACATAAAAATAATTTTTAGAGATATAACTTTAGGGAAGGCAAGTTTATTTTACAGCACATCTTGTGTACAAGACAAATCAAAGTGCTTTACAGAGAGTTTAAAGCAGAAAATTGGTTCTGAAGTGGTCTGATGTGATCTGTTCATTACAGCCAGACTCTGAACCCGTTTATCACCTTATTGAACATCAAGTCTCCGATCTGTCTATCGACCTGCACATGGACCATCTGATCCAAGTTATTGATCCATTATTGATCCAAGTCCGGTCTCAGCTCCTGTCTCCTATCTCAGTCCAGCTCCTATCATAACTCCTCCCAGACCTATGGTCCCTCTACTCCTCTTTCTGGGCTTCCCTCTATCTCCTCCTGTCTCCACTGACTCTGACTGGGGGTTTTCCTCCAGAGAACTGTAAAATTGTGTCTACTTTGTAAGTCGCTTTGGTTTACATAGTCTAAATGCAGAAACGGAAACATAATAGCCCCCGAAACAGCTTCAAAAGCCCCCCAAAAAGATCTTTAAAGCCCCAAAAAACAGCTTTAAAGCTACAAAAATAGCTTTAAAACCACAAAAAACAGCTTTAAAGCCACAAAAATAGCTTTAAAGCCCCCAAAAAACAGCTGTAAAGCCACAGAAAATAGTTTTAGAGCCACAAAAAACAGTTTTAAAGCCACAAAAACAGCTTTGAAGCCACAAAAACTGCTTTAAAGCCCCAAAAAACCGTTTTAAAGCCCCAACAAACAGTTTTAAAGCCACAAAAATAGCTTAAAAGTCCCCAAAAATATCTTTAAAGCCCCAAAAAACAGCTTTAAAACCACAAAAAAAAGCTTTGAACAGCTAGACCCTCTACTCCTCCTGTCTCCTCTGACTCTGGCTGGGGGTTTTCCTCTAGAAAACGTATTATCAAAAGGATGATAACTGTAAAATTGTGTCTACTTTGTAAGTGGCTTTGGATAAAAGCGTCTAAAAGCAGAAACAGAAACATTTACCCTGAACCCTTGATGAGCCTGGGGACCTTTCACCCCGGACTGACTCGGGAGGACTGAGTTTGTGGCTGTAAAACCGCTGAGAGTCAGAATTAGAGACAGACTGGGAGTTAATTGGAGTTGTGTCTGTGGGGGGGATCAATTAATGGAGCCGCCTGTGGACCGAAGACCTTAAGACGAGCTTCAGATCAACACCAGCTCAGGTCTGTTTATGTGCAGAAAACATGAAACAGCTCCTAAAAAGTTCTGTAACAGCCTTTATTTCTTGGTTTGTTTTGTACTAATTGTTCTTTAGTCTGGTGCTCGGAGCTAAATGATGTTTCAGTTTCTGACTCAGAGGCAGATATTCTCCTCTTTTACTGGATTCAGAACTTCTCTCATTCGTTAGAACAGGTTTAGAAGTTTTTGCGTTTGTTTAATAAGCATTTATTAACACATACACACTCCCTCACACACACACACACACACACACACACACACACACA